TGTTGGTAAAGAGATTGACTTCACTTGTCCCTTAGACGAATTGTAAATTGGAGCTGGGAATGGCAAGGCTTAAGGACGATACCGGCTAAATGTCTAAGAATGTACCAAGTCCATGGTCCGACACTTTGAAATATGATAATTACTATAGCAGAGGACTTCGGACAAGGTGCGTCTAACCAAGCCGCCCTGATAACACGACCAAGTTGCGAAAACCAGGATACACTACATGCATACATCGAAAGGAGACTGCGACCAGAATAAAGGCACAACATCTTGGTCATATTATGTAGAATAAATACACTTCTCATTAAAGACTTACTGGTAGTATCGAAATCCTACTTAAAAATTAAAATGAAATATCGTGTCTTTGATGATGAAAGTAACCTGCAGAGAAACCATACAAGGAAAAATCGATAGTGTAAACGCAAATAACAACAATCCTGATACTTTGCTTTCGAGGTACATCAAGCGTATATATATAATAAGTAGCGTTATGCTAGATAATAAAATGCTAAGCTAAGGCCGGATGAACTAGAACATAAATCAAAGCTATATGTTTCTCGCTTCTGTGTCCTGAGATTACAAGGATTATTCTCAAACATTGTGCATCAGGCATAAATTTAAAATCACAATAAAAGGTACTTACTGGAAAGAGCTTTCAGGTTGGGTTAAATCATGAATAGGGGCTTTTTCGTAAAGGAACGCGGAGAAAGATGTCCTCTTAAGTGGATTCTTCGGTTTTAAGGGATTGCATCCAAGCTTTTGTAGCCTTAAATGATTTTGTGTGTCGCATGGAATAGGATCACCCCCAGACGTCACAGAAGCGTCTTCCATTGACCTCTCAGCTTCGCTATTTTGTGCCATAGAGCCTGAAAGAGGCTGCTGTTGCTGCTGTGAAGTATCGTCAGTCGAAGAGATCGAAGCAAAGTTTTCATTTACTAAATCTCTGAAGTACTGGATCGAAGCTAACTGTTCTTCAAGACGACAAAGTCGCTGAAAATGACGCTCTATAGCAGAAATAACAATAAATGGAAAATAAGCTATTAAATTGGAAAAGAAAATGCATGGTTATACAAGTTGAAGTTGACAGATTTAACGGGCTGAGATTTCGTCCACTACAAGAAAGATATCCTTAGAGCTACAACTCACTCTTATTAAAATCTCACGTTAATACTAGGTCAAGAAGATTACCCGGCTCTATCTTACGTCATATACAAACTGAATTAAGCAAAAGAAGATTAATAGGCATAAATAGATATGGAATGAAGTATTAGGTTCGCAATGGAAATGGAAGAGAACAGGTGCCTACTGTTAAATGAAAAAAAATCAGGATATGAAATTTATAGGAAGCCAACATATTACTAATTTTTTACCAATTATAGGTACAAAACTAAGTTTGGAATTTTAAAGTCAATGTTTAGTAAGAGTATGAGATTAGCGGATAGCAAACATTTGACCAGAATTAGAACGGTTGAAA